ATCAACTGTGTGAGAGTAAAAAGGGATTTGTTATACTATTGTCTCTATATATGTTTGAAGTTTTTTTTTTTAAGGGCAAGATAATAAGTATGCTTTGTACTTTTTCACTACTCATATGTCTACTCCTTAGGCACTTAGAGCCTTTAGGACAGCGGTTCTCAACCTCTGGGTTGCGACCCCTTTGGGGGTTGAATGACCCTTTCACAGGAAATGCCTGATTCATAACAGTAGCAAAATTACAGTTATGAAGTGGCAATGAAAACAATTTTTATGGGGGAGAGAAACAATTTTATGGTTGGGGGTCACCACAACATGAGGAACTGTATTAAAGGGTCGTGGCATTAGGAAGGTTGAGAATCACTGCTTTAGGAGAATAATTTAAAAAACATGAGTTGGTGTTAATAAAAGTTTAAATTTGCATGCAAATTTTAAGTGTTTGTGGGGAGATTCTATGCGTTGAATTCTTAGGTTTATTGATTTGAGTAAATGGAATTAAAAGATTTAGAGGAGAGGATTGGTAATAATGTTTAAGATTTTCTCATGCTGGAGATAAAATTCCAAATATTGTTTATGTTAGCCCTTAAGGTCTGTAGCTGTTATTGAACATTTGAATGGTTTAATGACCGCACGATAGATACCTTCACTGTTGGTTAAAAATTGAATGAATGTGTGAAAGGCAATGTAGACAATGATGCGTGGTTTCAATAATTTGGCTAGTATTACAGGCGATGGAAATTTTCCTTTAAGTAGTTATGTTGTTACACCTTAAAGATTTATGGTCATAACTTTCTCTTTTTAACTTTCAAGCCCTCTTAAAAAATAAATTAGAACTGAAATATGTTTCTATAATTGGTTTCAGTGGACTTTATATTGCTTTGTTTTCAAAATGAGATTATCACAGAAATTTTCTCTAATACAGTTTTAATTGGTTTATTAAGTATTTTATACTAACAGAGGGAAATGGGAGTATTTCCAATTCATGTTTTCAGACTAATCCTATGAGTGTCTTTAGATTTTGCTCACTCCAGTAATTAGCCAAACAGGCTCTAATAAATGACTGCTTACTTTCAAATTGTGAAGTGAGTATTGTTCAAGACAGATAGGTGTTCCCTTGCTGGGGAGAAAAACGATGTTCTGCTGGGGGAGTCCTAGGCTGTGTCTGGGAGGAGGAAGTAAAGGTGTGGTTCGTGATAAGAGAGAAAAAGTTAGAATGGCTTCCTTCTTCACCTCATCACCACTCTTTCCTATCACTGCCCTTCAAAATAGGAATAAGAAAGATTTTGTAAGGAGAGATGATAATTTTAACGTAAAATAATGTGGGATATTCTGCAACAATCTGCTTCAATTGAGAAAGAGAAGAGCTAAGTATTCAGCTTGACAAGAAAGAGCTGTGGATGTTTTGTCTTGGTCTTAAGTTCCTAGGATGTTGAACTGCTAATTTATAACAAATGAAATGTGAATTTATTAACATAATAATAGTTTATTGAGCATTCCATGGTCATGTCTTAAGCATTTCTATTTCTTATTACCCCTT